CTATTCACCAGGGTAAAACATCATGAGCTAGATTAAACAGATTGTCCTAATATCTAACTTTACATGCAATGCACACCTGTTTCATTGCTGTTAATTTTTCAATCCACACTGGGGGGGTGGGGGTCAGAAAAGTTTCTACTTTTATGAGGGGGGAGGCACAAAAAGTTTGCCTTCAGTCTGGAGGGGGGGTCAAAAAAGTTTTCAATCCTTATTTTCCCCATTTCCCAACCCCCCCCCTCCCCATAAATAATGACCACTCCCCTAGTTTATATTCCATAATCCACAGAGCTTGAACATCCATGCGGAATGTACAAATTATTGACTTTTCGAGTGAAGTTCTGTTTGAATTTTTCAGGTACTAAGTTCTATCTGTCGAAATCTGCAGTTATCTTGTTATCGTCTCTATCTAGCCTGGCACAGACCGTTCAAGATTGTACTGTTTAATTAGCACCAACACCAACAGTCATGGTGGCAGGGATGGATCCAGCATGACCTGGTAGGGGGGGAGGGGGGTTTGATCTGCCAGCTCTAATGCCGAGTTATGTTTGTCATGCATGCCACCCGCCCATCAACTTACAAGTCAAGTCTTGCTTGACTACTGTATTTGAATTGTAATTGTTGTTCACAGTTCGCTTCTTATCATGTTATCGATATCACTCAAATTACTGTATCTCATTTTGTCTCTAAAATATTTTTTTTGCTTTATCATGAAAAATAGCACTCTCCCTGACCAGGGCTAGGAGGTGCACCCTCCCCCCCAGTAAATCCAGCCCAGCATACAGCTGGGTTTAGAGGGGGAGGGGAGGGGGTTGACAGAGGTACACACCCTTGGCCAACAGGGGAGTGTAAAAATCAAAAGGGGGGCCTTATTGAATTAAAAAAAATCTGGGCAGGATGTTACAAGGCCATCGGAAGTAAATCAATATTGGGGGGACTCAAGAATATATCTGAATAAATTTTAATTGCTTTTGCACCTTTCTAGTTATTTTGTGTGTTTTGCTTATACAAATGGAAATTATAGGGGGGGCTCAAGCCCCCCGCTTCTGACGGCCTTGTGTGGCATGTGACATTGCCAGCTGCCATTAATAGTTTGCAGAATTGTGAAAAATAAATCAATGCTGTAGACTGCAAGTGGTAATGCACTTTCTCCATTGGCATTATAGACATAATACACAAAAAATTCCACAAGACCAATTAACTTGGTAACCCTGAGTATTCCATACTCATTGGGAAATCAGTCAGATGCAATTGTACCCACCCTCTGGTCAACCCTTGCCACTAGACGTTTCTGTACCTTTGCCCTGCATATCATGGTTTATGAACTCAACATTTTATGATTGAATTAGCTCTTCTACTATGATATTTTATGCTCAAGTAAATAGAAAGTAGTACAGCAAGCCGGCTGGAATAATGGTCAGATGTTACTCCTCAGTGGCATAACTCCTAAGGGCTGTGTCCGGCAAGAGCCAGGGGCCCAGGGGGTGTGCCTTGTCAAGGAAGGTCCCTGGGCTAACCTTTATGCAGTGTTCGGAAATTTTAATTTAAATAATTAATTTAATTAATAAATTAAATTAATAATTAATTAATTAATTAAATTAATAATAATTATTATAAACAAATTAATAATAAATAATAATAATTATTAATTAATATTATTTAATTATTTAATTAATTAATATTTTTAAAAAATTTTTTTAGCTTAAAAGCTCTCCCTGTTAACACTCTGAACAGTAGGTCAAGGTAGGGCCGGAGATACGGCGGGGGGGGGGTGACACCACCAGAAAATTTCCTGCAAAGGGCTCTTTATTTGGGTTTTTGGGTAAATTTGCGAATTTTGGTATGAAAAATTGAGGTAAAGTCACTGGAAAGCATTTGCAACGTTCTCATCTGGAAAATTTTTTTCCCTAAAAAGTTGTCGACGGGTGGGGAGGGGGGGAGGCTGTTGGTCTCTGAAAAAAAAATTTCTCGGCTGGGCTCCCGTCAACCTCTCGGCGGCCCTGTTCGTCAGTTGGTTGAAATGACTTTACACCCCCCCTGAAGAATTCCCTGAGGACAGCCCTGGGTAAAGGGGGCCCTTCACAGGGAGCACTGAGACTTCATCCTTAAATACCCATAATTACAATTCTGGGAAATGAGTACCCCATACAGGGCTGCAAATAAATATTTGACTTGACAGGACATTTGTCCGATCACTTTTAATTTTGGTCGAACATAACTTGAATTTGGTCGGACAAAAACCAACATCGCTACATTTGATCGGACATATATACGTCGCAAGATATAATATAAGTCACGAGACAAGTATGTATAGCCATTCTGGCGCAACGTTAAGTAAAATGCTAGAATGCCTGGTAAATTTTATTGCAAAATGCAAATTGAGTGAATTTGCAATCGGATTTTAATTGTCACAGCAAAAAAAAATGTATAATGTAGAATTTTTTTTTGTGATCGGACCAATGTCCGATCAAAATTACTTTTGCTCAGACATTTGCCAAATTTAGTCGGACATTGTCCGATGTCCGACAGTAATTTGCAGTCCTGCCATATGCCCCTAGTGTCTAACAGAATGTGAATTTCAAGTTGTAAAATAAATGGAAAGTGCTATTTTTGCAGGGTATATCCTTGACCCAAAAAATAGATTGATTATGTGATCAGCTTTAACTTCTTAAAAACAACTTAAAATCTAACTTTACCTAGAAATAGTTAAATACTTTGCATTCTATGGAATACAAAGCTCATTTGTAGCTTACTGTTTGCAATGAATAAAATTAATATTGTATTATGTAATGTAATCTTCAAAAATTATGAAGGGCCTTAGAACTCCTCTCCCAACTGAAGAAACACATTAAAGGGGATGGCTTAGTCCAAATTACACCCTACTGTTAATGACAGGGATGGATTTACTGGGGGTGGGGGTGCACCCCCCTAGCCCTGGCCAGAGGGGGTGTGTGCTATTTTTCATGATAAAGCAAAAAATTATCAGAGGCACAATAAGATACGATGATAAGCGAACTGTGAACAACAATTACAATTCAAATACAGTAGTCAAGCAAGATTTTGCAGTAGTGAAGCAGGTTGATGGGTGGGCGGCACACATGACCGACACAATTCGGCACCAGAGCTGGTAGAGCACCCCCCCCTTACCAGATCATGCTGGATCCATCCCTGGTTAATGACAAACATGAGATTGATCATAAAGTTTGTCTCCACTATGTGTTCTTTTATGTCTTGCTGAAGTACTTGAATATCTGTAGTGAATTCTTTACAGATATGATATTCATATAAGGTTTTACTCTATTAATCTGTGTTCTTTTATGTGACAATAACTAAATTGTTTGATGTTGAATAATGTTTGTTACACATCTAAGCAAGCCTCTTATACAGGATGTGCTTGTCTGTATCATGATTTGTTGCAGTGTATGTTGTTTAAACAAATTTGCCCATGTTAATTGGTATGTTTGCCAGAATCATAATATTTTTCACAATGTGAACATGGCATTCTCACATTCATAAGGTAATTGTGAGTGTGGTGGTCAAAATGGAAGCAATATTGTTCCATCATTCAGTTATAGCACTTTACTTTTTATAATTTATATCAATTATATGATAAAATATCGTACGTCTGGCAGTTTAACTTTTTAAAACTGCTAATAATCAACCTATTCGAATGCTGTCAATGCATTACGACTACATTGGCATGTATTATCCTGCTTAAATAATATCATCTTCATCAAGCCAAGTAATTATTTAATCGTAGCTTGCCAACTTGAGTAAAATAGTCTAAATTGATTTAATTGTTAAATGAACAACTCAGTAGATAAGACTTTAATACATTAACTTTAACTATGTTTGAGAAAAATTCTGTTATAAAATCTTTTTTCAGATAAAGTGTAAGATACCTGGCATTTCAGAATATAAGTTCTACCAACCAAAAAGAATAAAAAGATCAAAAAACAACAATAGAAATTATAGAATATTAGCTCCATTTAAACTCCACTCCTTAGCTTGGCGCCATATTGAATTTCGCGGCCGCGCTGGTAAAGGCCTGGGGACTAGGTGCTCTACCGTATCTGAAATAGCCTTCACCGGAAGTTGTAGATTCAATTTTCGTCAATTTCACTTCCGTCGAAAATGTTTAAAGCCAGTGCTCCAGTCCAGTCCTTTCCTCTTAAAACCTCAACTCAGCAATGGCTACCGGAGTAAGTTTTTTGCAAAAACTGTTTACAATCCCTTTGAATCGAGGACTTTCTTTTTATCGAAATGCCCTTTTCTCTTACTGTTATACATTAGCAATGTATCAAATGCCTAATTCACGTGAAAAATCGTTTGTTTTTTCTAGACTTTATACACATACCCGGACAATATTAGGGCATTCAAAATCTTGATTGCCGCACAATACAGTGGAGCTAAAGTCACTGTCTCGCCGAATTTTAAACTCGGAGAAACGAACAAGACTGCTGACTTTCTTAAAAAGTTTCCATTAGGAAAGGTTGGTAAAGCTTTGCCTACTTCGGAGATTAAAATTGTACAAATTTGTTCCAAGTTGTTTTTGTACAGAACAGTATTTTTCTAAAAGTTCATGTTCATATATAAATAAGTCATGACTATCAACATTTTCACAATTCGAATGAAATAACTGGATCTGAGTACTAAAATAAGAATATAGTATTTGCTTGATTGAAAAAGAAATTGTCAGCAAATAATCAACCATTGATCTCAATGTTACTTCATTTAATAATCCCTGTGACTATTTGTCTGGTAGCCAATTAACTTGTTTGGCAGCAAGTCTATTCAACTGACACCAATAGACCACAAAAAATAAACGAATCCCAACCCAGCCATATGCTCTAACCTGCAGAGGTCAAAGAGGGTTAGAACTAGTCAGGAAAAAAGTTAAACATGTAAGTGAAATTGCTAAGGCTAATAAACAACCTCCCAAAGCAGGCTCGAACTCGCAAATTAGAACACGCAGTCACATGCCTAACCTTCTGAGCTGCTGTTCTTGAGCTTGCCGAAATCCTTCGTAATTTTTTTTTTATATCACTTGCATGTTATATAGAGACTGCCTGTCATTTAAACCAAACACTTCCATTTCCTTCATAGGTTCCTGCTTTCGAAGGATCCGATGGTACCAGTATTTTCGAAAGCAATGCCATTTCATACTATGGTATGTATGAAACGTTGGCATATTGCTGCTCATTATCACTTCCGCTTATCACAAATATGTTTTTTATTTTTGCTAAATCTTTTTGTAAATCTTGTCACAGTTGCAAATGCTCAGTTGAGGGGAAATAATGATAAAGATGCAGCATTAATCCAGCAGTTCATTAATTTTGCCGACAATGAAATTTTGCCTTCCGCTGCAACGTGGGTTTTCCCTACATATGGAATAATGCAATACAACAAACAGGTAGGTTTGACAAATTACCTTTGTTTCAATGGTGTTATTATCAGTGTGACTGCCTTTCACCTCTTAAAGTGATATTACATAGGACAACTTGCAACAACAACTGGTTCTGTAACAATTTGCATTGTAAGTTGTTGTTAAAAGTTGCCCTGGACTATTTCCAGAGTGTTGTCTTCTCACACACAGTGAGGAGTTGCACCACTTACTTGCATTCAATTTCATCCTGCCCGAGTGGTACATAAGAAACCCTTTCCACTTTCTTCATGCTCAAGCCACTGAAAAATGCTATTCTTTTAAGGCCACCGATAAAGCCATGGATGAAATCAAGAAATGCTTAGCCTACCTTAATGATCACCTCTTGACAAAGACATATCTTGTTGTAGAACAAATCACCCTTGCAGATATCACAGTTGCATGTAACTTGCTTATGCTTTACAAACAGGTATGGCTAAAATGGATATAGCTTCTCTTCTGTGTTTTCCTCACCATTGATAAGCACTGTTATGTTTATTAGGGTTTCTAAGAAGACATTTACAGTAGAAATTTACTAAGCTCTCTAAGAATTTTATCATTTCAGGTGTTAGAGCCAGCATTCCGAGCACCTTATGGTAACGTAAACAGATGGTTTACTACCGTTATTAATCAACCACAATTCAAAAATGTTGTCGGAACTGTTCAACTCTGTGAGAAAATGGCAAAATTCGATGGTAAATAGTCATTCCTCCATAATAAGGTCCTCTCATTTTCCTGTCATCTTGCTTTCTGCTGCCAAAATAAATGTCAAATTTGGCAAAACAAATTGATTCGACTGTCATTGCCACAATGATTAAAATAATAGAGTAGTGGCCTGAAATTACATTGAACAAAATGTAATGGTGATGACTATTGCTCCTTATGAGTGGCTTTTACAGCTTTCACCTTGTCAGTGTTAGCAAAAACTGAATGAAGCTATACTTATATTGGGTTGCTCTATGATCTATCAGTTCTAAGCTGTTCTTACTAGAGGTCCAGTAAGGGTTGTCCTTTATTAGTAACATTTCCCTACAAGAGGTAATCAGAGTACCCAAAGAAAACCTGCTCTGATTGGTTGAATCAAACTGGAAACGCTAATTCCCACAGCTGTATGCTGGAGTGGAACTCTGTCGCACTGTGCAGGGCGTTTTTGTCAACACAGACGTCAGATTGCAGAGGGGGACTGGACTATGATGCAAAATGCCGCCAAAATTAGTTATACCAATTTTGGGGTGGCGTCCATGTTGAAAAAAATGCGACTTGCTTAAGCTAACTAATATTATTTAGTGTGCCAGCAAGGGATATTATGCTTAACCTCGGATTGTGCCTGCAAATAGGTTTTGAGAGCTAAATATTAAAATATCTGAATGTTAACAAGATCTTGTAATGTTCAAATTCAAGCCATTTTTCCTTGCGATTATCTAGCTGCAAAATTCGCTCAGTTGAACCCAAAGAAACAAAAAGAAACCAAACCGGCAAAAGAACAGAAAAAGAAAGAAACACCAAAGAAAGAAAAGCCAAAGAAAGAAAAGAAAGTAAAGGAGGAAGACGAGGATGATGATATTCCAAAGGAACCAAAGAAGAATCCACTTGCGGGTCTACCTCAAACGTAAATGTTGAAAAGTTTTTAAAATTATTCCTGATTAAGGCTGACCCTTTTCTGGAAGCACTTTCCTGATGTACTTTCTTGAATGTTTTTGCAAATTTCAGAAGTTATTTCCAAAACACAGACCAGTTGCATTAATGATTTTTCAACGGTTGCAAAAGTGTTCTAAAAGCTATAAAACTCGCACTTAAATAAAAAAAATTATAAATACTAAAGTCTTATCATGGTTACACCATGCAATCAACAGATAATTTTAAGGTATAAAAGGCTTTGAGAAATAATTAAATGTGGTTTTTCCCACCAAAAACCTCATATTTATTGTCAATGCAAACGTGCAAATAACTTATTCAACCACTAGTTTCAAAACAACATTTAATCTTCAATAACTATATATATATATTCTAAACTTACAGGACGTTCGATTTTGATGCATTCAAGCGGGAGTACTCTAACAAGGACACAATCACCGAAGCCATTCCATACTTTTGGAAACATTTTGATAAAGAAAACTGCTCACTTTGGTTTTGTGAATACAAGTACGCAGACGAGCTTAAAAGAATTTTCATGTCCTGTAATCTTGTTGGTGGAATGTTACAAAGAATTGAAGGTTTACGTAAAGTCGCATTTGGATCTATGATCATATTCGGGGAAGATAATAATAGCTCAATTTCTGGAGTATGGGTGTTCAAAGGACAAACACTCGGCTTTGAGGTAAGTAAAGGCGATTTTACACAGATTTTTAGCAACGATTCGCAATGCAAATGAAGTTACAAGATTGGTATAGGACAGCCCCATTGCGTTGCGAATCGTCGTTATTATAAATTTTTGGTATGAGGATTGAATATGGAGATTGTCAAAACAATGAAGACAATGTAACATTCGAATCACTGGATCGTGAGTGAATGGGAAAGATACAGTATTATAATAGACTGTCTTGTTTTTCTCTAGTTATCAGAAGATTTTCAAGTCGACTCGCCATCTTATGATTTCAAGAGACTGGACCCGGACAACGAGGATGACCGTAAACTGTTCAATGCGTACTTAGCTTGGGAGGGGGATTTCGGTAGCAAAGAAGTCAATCAAGGCAAAATTTTCAAATAAATAAGACCATGACTCACGAGGATAGAACTGTGTCAAAAGATTTAATCTGTAGACTTTAAACACCAAATAAAGAATTATATTAACAATGTGTGGAAATATTTATTCAATTGTTCTTACTGTAAATTAACTATATTTGCCGACTGAGTAACTTTGAGGTTCAGCGGAGTACTCGAAGCAGTGTGTTTAGTGGATAGAAAAATTTTACTTAAACACACTGACCCCGTCAATCGAAGCTAATTAACCGAAGATAGATAATTGTTTAGTTCATTTCCACGAGGGGCGTGTACAAAAGAATACATATAAAGAATTTTAGAAGCTATATATTTACAAAATTATATAAGATATATAGTATTATATATAACATGCGTAACTAGAATAATAATCTATTTATAGGTACATCTATATTTACATTAGCTATCAATCAATGTGAGTAGCGATTTTCTTTCGAAAGGAAGAAACGGATTTGCTCTCTCCAATTTTATTTCTCTTTTTTAATTTCTTTTCTTTTTTAATTAAGTTATAATGAATACAACTGCACATTACAGGAATCGAACATTGGCTTGGTTAAAGACGTGCAAGCACTCTATATCTATGGGTGCCCTTTTTAGTGTCCCAATTCCAGCTTTTAATATATGCGCACAGGGGGTGACGGGAAACAACCGAAATATTTAAATATAGTACAAGCTATCACTCCGTGTTTACACGGCCGCCATTTTTATTTTTTCAGCATAATCAGCAATATGATAGCTTACTTCCCCCCCCC